CCACAATCCAAATCAAAATCTTCGTTACCTCTCGATTTAGCTCCAGATATATTCTCAAAGCTACCTGCTAAATCTCTCGTGAGGTTTCGTTGTGTTTCGAAGCTTTGTTCATCAATCACCGAGGAACCATATTTCATCAACTCCTTCGAAACTCACTCCTCAACACGGCCAAAACTTCTATTTTGCTTCAAAAAAAGCTGGAAAATATTCGTTTTCTCGATTCCACAACCTCATCAGAATATGAACGAGTCTTACACTTCTCAGCTTATAACTGATCGTTATCATATGTCATTCCCTGGATTTTACTACCCTACGGAATCTGTCCACGGCTTGATCTGCTTTCAACAATCAGGAAACCCTATAGTTTGGAACCCTAGCATGGGACAGTACAAAACCTTACCCAAACCAAGCAAGGCTTGGACCGACCTAACAATCTTTTTAGGATACGATCCAATCGAAGGTAAACACAAGGTAGTTTGCTTGCCTCTTTATGAAACTTGCAGTGCGTACCGGGTTTTAACATTGGGATCAAATAAAGAAATATGGAGACGCGTCAAAGCTAACATTAGGCATTGTTCTCTCTCTACTGATATTTATGGTCGATGCATCAATGGTGTTCTATATTATAAAGCCTATATTGCTGATTTGGATATTTGGGGTATAATGAGCTTTGATGTTAGATCTGAAAAAGCCAATATGATACAATTACCATCGGATATAGATGGGAATATGCTGATAACTTATGAAGGGAAGTTAGCTTGTGTCAAAAGATATCCTGGGACGAATGAACTGTTGATTTTGGAAGATGCAGAGGAACAAGAGTGGTCGAGTAAACACTTCCGAATACCGTTTGCTCAAGATGATCCGAGAAACATTTATAAACTAAGTGGTATCACTCTTGCTCGTGAGTTTGTTTATACACCGTATACGTTTTGTAAACAGTTTTATATTTATTATTATGATCCGAAGAGAGACAACTTTAGAAAAATTGAATTCAAAGGAATCACAGACGACGAATTCTGGCTCAGTAATGGACTTGAAGATATATGTAGTAGCTATACGCTTCATACTTTCGTGAATCATATTGAGAGATTGACTTTGTTGTAACAGTTAGTTGTTGCTTTTTGTTGACACTTAACTAAGTGATTCTGCCGCGTGTACGCGGATAAATTTTATGTAGTTTTGTATTTAATTTTAGTTTTTAAAAATGAAAAATATG